CGAATAAAATTTCTGGCAAATTCTGCTTCATATGAATACAATGTAGGCATATAAACAAGTTGTAATCTAAGTATTGAAAGAACTGAAAGCCGGGCTTTAATTGCTCGAGTATATTGTCTGATATGAAATTACTACATACCAGTATTTAATTTTTCCAGTTTGCCATTGATTTTTAACAGGTGGAGTTTGTATGATTAAGGGTTAAAACAATATCCCATATATATACCAGTAACTAAAATTAATGTCAGTAATGATTTTAAAATTTGATAAATATTTCCAAGAAATTCTCGCATATTTTCTATTTAAAACGCATTTTTTCCCCCATAATTTAAAAATTCAGTCTTGGAATAATTAGAAGATGCACAGGTGTATTTCATAGACATTCTTTTAGTTTCAAACAAACAGTACTTTTATCGCCAACTACATGAAATCAAAGTACTGAAAGTACTCATGGGAGTTGAACATGGTGTAAAATAAAATCTTTGATCGGGAGGTCAAGTGAGTGAACAATAGTATTATTTCAAATACAGACAACTGTTTCAGATTTTTTGTGTTGCAACAATCTTGAGAAAGACATTCAAAGACATCGAATGGCAAAAAAATGCCATAATGCTTGCCTGCCTAAATTAGTCCTTTTCTTATACCCCCTGCTTGAAAAGTGGGAGGGTATTTATTTATTTATCGGGATGTTTGTCCACCTGTTTGTTACGCTTTAGGTATCCCATCTCTTATCCGCAACTCCTCTTACACCACTGCATAAAATTTTCATAGAATCTTTATTACATATTGCCGTTGTGCACCTTCTATTACTTTTTCATCCTACACATATTTTGGGTTTCCCATTGCAAAACATGGACACTGCCATCATATTCATATTAGAGGCGGTTGATTATTTATATAATTCACTGCTCACAGTACCTCTAGTTCATCTTCAAATTTGTAATATATTTTTCCTTGGCATCTTTACCCAGGTGTTATGAAAATTTCAGTTTCACAGGAATAATATCAATGTTGATAAAATGTGGATTTTCACACAGCATCCTTTTAAGAGCTAACAGGTTTGTTATATAAAACTTCTCTGTGAATATAAATGTATTTCAATTACACGAAGTCATCATTATACATGGAGTACGTCAGAACTTAAATTTTTTTAATATTGTGAAGAAAAAAGCAATACCAAGTTAAAAACAAATATTTAATGACCAAACATAAAAACAGTGGTATATGTGAAAGTTTGTGTGCGTACAGATTAACTCGTATGTAAATGAGATTTTCCTTTTATTTAAAAAAAATATACTTCACTTTGTTGTTTTTAATCGCGAGTCTACGAAAACATCGGTGTCCGTTTTTTGTTTTAACATTCTATAACAGAGTACTAGATTTACCGCTTTTTGGCAGGTGATACTACTGATTTAGTAATAAATACACATGTTTCCAAAAGTTTTTATGCATTAATGAATTCATTTAAACCAATAAAATGATCATGAAAAATTTGAATAAATTCTGTGCACCGTTAAAAAAGAAATTGTTAAAAACCCAAAATCCGGGACCGTCGGGCATCGGGAAGACTGGATTTACCGCTTGCCGTCAGTATGTAGAGTTGTCGTTCGTATCTTTTTCAGTGTTTATAGATGACGCTACACTAAAAATGAGTTCCATTACGAAAAACTTTTGAGGTTCTTTATAATTTAGTTTTACTTTGAACGAAACCTAATATTCAAATAAGATTACTTTATCATTACATTTACTTACATTTCAAATTATAAAAATTAGATCAATTCAGGAGAAAAATGACATGAACTATTTGTGGCGAATGTTTATGCATGTTTTCTGTTGAATATCATCGGAGTAAATCGGTCGACTCAGTAGCCTCGCTTTCGGCTCTATATAATCAACACAAATTACTGCGCATGTTAAATGCGTGATGACCATGGGGGATTGAACATAGTTCAACTCCCAAAAACACTAACACATGTACATTGTCAAGCGACTTCACGCATGTTAATTCTTAAAATTTCAATTCACTATACTACTTGTTTGCTTAAAAATCAAAACAGAATATAACCATTAACATTACATCGACGAAAACGATATGAAACATGAAACTCTTCAACAATTTCAACATTTCGAAAAGCCCGCGCTATTGAAAATCGTTTGCTTACAATATGCATTCACCAGCGTATGTGCACAAATTGTTATATCACGATTATCCCAACAAATCAAATATCTATTTTCTCTTCCAGTTTATTTCTCAAGCAGAAATATTGATCATTAACTTTTCCAACGATTGGAATTGGGTTAAAAATATTTGTTTGAATATCGTTTCACAATGGGACTATATTTTGTTTATCGGAAGCGTCTGCTTTGACGCTGTTTGTTTTTTTTTTTATTTACTGTGCTATTTATAGTAAGACAGTCGATCATGATGCCTAAAGCCAGGACTTAGCTTCCAGCAAAGCCCGGCTAAAAAGGATTGATATATATGTAAATGCTATTCTATCCATGATGAAAGAACAACGAGGTATTTATTCCCTATGTAAGCATGTATTGTTACATAATGCATGTATGAAGAGACCATTTTTTAAGCATATCTATATATGCTTCATGTAATTATTCCTCAACTTTTCTTTCACGTGTAAAGAATAAGTGCACTTAAGTATGTCATTTGGAACCTTTTCGGCTACCCATCTTAATCCTAACATTACAAAATATCGCGAGTTTAATCTACGTGTATGATTATTGTGCAAGCATATGCTTTTGATATTTATGCTTTGAATTTTTTGTCATACATATGTCTATAATTACAGACAATGCCATTGAAAAGAACATGTTTAAGCCTTAAATTCCGGAAATTTGAATGGGACCACTATAGAATTTAAGGTACCCGCAAATAGGCGGAGACATTTAAATCGCATGGATATGGAATAAAAACAATAGCACATATGATTATTTTCGCAATCAGATGCTACACTACGAATTTAAATAGTGAAGAGAGAGATTCTTTAGTTTCATGGTGCACAAATAATAAATGATTCTAGTGTTTAGGGATGGGGTAGATGTATTGCCCTGCAGACCATAATACTGAGGCGACACGAGCCTATAATTTTCCATAGTTTGAAGTTGGAAGTACGATAGCTACTGTCCGAATAGATACTTCAAATGACAAACACAATGAAATGTTTGATAATGAAAGCGTTTAGCGTATCGAACCATGGAATGTCACGTGAGTAAAGTGATTATAATATCAATCGTTGACACTCGGGGGACCTATTAATTTAGTGACTAACTTGACGGTTGTTTGGAGACTTTTTCAAAAAATTAGATATGAGCCGCTACTTTGCCAACATTGTCCTTTGAATATAAGTTTAAATTAAAATACACATTCTGTACAGATGAGACCAATGGCCAAGTTGCGGCTCGATGTAAACAATGTCGTAGAAAACTGGTATGCATATAAATAACAACAGAAATGTGACAAAACTATTAGACCCCCTTCTCAAAAGCTAGTGTCGCTCGGCATTATTTAGTACTTTCATGTAATATAATATACCAAAACCTGATTTTAAGACATTGTTTGATACGTGTAAAACATAAATTTAATGAAAATCGGGATTTTATTTTGCGCAAAACACCGGGACCCAAATCTCATAGCTTGAGTGCACCCATCCTTTTCAAGAAAAATCAAATTTGATTTCGTGTATAAAATGGCATAGTGTTTAAGGTTAAACTTCTTTTACTAAATGAAGCTGGAATTCCATATTTGTTTTATAAGGTTGAAAATGTCTCACATCTAAAATATTGCGCTTGGTTATATGAACATGACTTTTTGTGTGTCTACCGACAAATTTTATCCTTATTTTTACGGATACATTGTTTATCATAAAACTGTCATTGATAAAAGACCGATTTTGAATTTACTACATTATTTCACATTAAATAAAAACCATTACTATTTTTGCAAGTAGAGACTATTAACCTTATATATATCCCTTTCATTAAATCTGCAATATTGTCCTTTGATGAACTTAACGACTTAAGAGCTACAGGTCCACCCATTTCTTAATATGGTATGCATACAAAGTACGCTTTCTGACGTGTTTCCTGATTTATTTTTCCATGTTTTTTTTTTTTCTAATTGTCATCTCCCAATAAAAATGACAGTTTTTTCAATATCATTTTACTTTTTACATACAAAAAATCAATCTTGTAATCCTTGTTATAGGCCCTCTTGGGCTTGAAGTTGAGGCCTTGGAATATTTTACTATTTATACAGTCATTATGGACAGCAGGATAATGTACCCAGCAGGTACTTTTCATGAAGATGTTAACTAAAAGAGTAGTTCAAAAATGTCTCATTTCTTTTTTACCGTGCTTAATGTTCTGAAGTTGACACTGTAAGTCTCTGGTTTTCAATTCCATTCTATCAGACCCTGAGCTTTAGATCTGGAGACATATACCTGTATAGTACAACCTGATTATAAAACGTGGTCTCATCGCACGGTGAGATGCATGTATCGTGCTTAAATACGTGTATCTATGCCACATTGACACTGGTTTCGCAAAAGTAAAATATTTCAAAAATTTAGACAATCAACAGATGCCCATATAATGTTCCTATTTTATAAAGAATGGTTTGAAAAAATGTATTTTAATTGCATATTTCTTTGAAGGTATGATAACAGAAGCAGACGATGGTAACTTTTACATTATCTTATGTTCTATATGTCATCTAAAAAAAATCTCCTTAAGAAAAATCATTTCCTACGAAAAGTGTCCCCTCATTCTATGCGGCTGCAAATACAGTCATGTACATATACATGTACCAACTTGCCTTATATTTCACATGGTTTCTTCTTATTCGTGAAACATGTTGAGTCGTACGTATTTACTCAATTTAAGATACACGAAATAGGACTCAATATAGAAATGAACTTATACATGTATCATGTGCATTTTTGATAAGTCGTAGGAAAAAATAAGACTAGACAAATTGTGGGCATATTTACTCATTTCAAATACTTGTAACACTTCGTTGTATAGAAAACAAACAATTCTATCTCAAATTTTCTGATCGATTAAATTGATTCTCAGTTCCAACAAGCAAGATTTTTGTTTTCAAACACAGGCTGAAAAAAATCTCTACATAAAAATCCAAAATTCACGAAATAACTTTTATTACAAAGGTACAAAATCAATCTTTAATTTTAAAAAAATTGAAAACCCACACCCTGTCATGAAAAAGAATCGTTATACATGTTTTTCATTCAATTGATTGACACGTTCTTCTGAATGGTCAATTATAAATTTAGCATCCGCTTCTGTACGTTGTTGACCTTCTGACCTTTTTCCTCCCCTGTGGCCATATAGCTCCTCTTCACCTGGAGTCACTCTTCCAGGTAAAGCAGAACAAGGTCGGCACGAACATGAAGTTGGTATTCTGATTGGAAGAGACACGTTCCTATATATACCTGTACCGTCATGGCATTCCATGAGAACTCCTCTCTCTATACTTTCTCCTTCTCTACAGCATTCACAAAAGCGTTCTACTGACCCTGGATCTGTGTACGATGGTTTTGTATATGATGTGCATGTTCCACGACAGCCAAATCCAAGAACTTGTTTCGGTTTGCAGTTTTCGGGACGGAGACGAACGGTAATGAATCCAATTCCACATCTAGCGTCGATTATTCCTGATGTGGCTCCAAGTAGAAACACTAATATGAGAAGCATATCCTGATCTGGGATGGGCATGAATCTGTTTTTTTATGTGTTATTTATCTGAAAAACATTCAAAGAGCACTCTTTACAACGTACATTGTTCACTTAGACATAGAATGAATGGATGATATTGCTATCAATTATTCAAAGCTTTTATCTTTGAAAAACGTTAAGTATTAGAAACAGTTATTAATCTTTATTAAAAATAACAAAACAATATTAATTTTGAAAGGGATTAAATACGGACACACGTAAACTTCAGAAGTGGGATAACGAGCCATTGAGGAGTAAGCATCTTTTTTGCGGGTCGATTTCCTACCGTGAAGTATTGATCATGCCGCGGAAACACTCTGTAGTAATTTTATGACATAAAACAAAGGTCTGACAATTGGTATGAAACAAGTCAGCTTAAATACGACACAAGGGAAAAGCAAAGTCTTTAAAACACTATGCTTGAATTTATGAAATAGTGGCTTTTATTTTTAATGAAGTAAATGAAATCCCTGTAACATCAGTATATCTGTGAGAATTAAACCTGCCTCGGTTTATGAATATTGATGAATCTGAAAAATTATGTAACAGCTTGTGCAGACTCAATTTTTTGCTAAACCACATAGATATAATGAATTTTCCGTATTCAACCAATTTAACTTTATCTCATGTTTATATTCATTAAATTGAAATAAAATACCTCTGAATAACAAATTGATTTGAACTTAAAAATACGCAAAAAAAGTAGGTTGTTATTAAATTTCCTTTTTCATAAAGAATTTCGTAACGTTTCATCTACATTTTGTCCTAAAATATAGAATGTTATTTATCTAATCTATAAATTCTTCCTTTACGAAATAAAATTCTTGTTACATACATTGAACAAGGAACAAGAAATAGTAATTTTTATTACCTTTTTCTTTTGTAAATTAATACATATAAGCTTATTGTTTTATAAAATTAGAATTAAAACTTAATTCCTGAATATAAAACTGACTTCAAAAATATAAATAATTGTTATTTATCCAGATGTTACTTTTATATGAGCTAATTTGAACACAGAACATACATTATAAGATATTAAAAACAAATATTATAACACCGTTACATGTTAGTTATAAGCAACATGGGTAATTTATGTTTTCTGTTATAAAATTCCTAATTTTCAAGAAAAGATCTAAATACTAATAATGAGCATTAAATCAGGAGATGATCATACATCTGATAATGAAAAACATGAAAAAAATAATATTTTAAAAATATAGATCACTAAAATCGTATTTTAATGAAACAACAATCCATTAAAGTCATGCTTCAGGCTGATCTTAACTTAATAGACGCTTTGGGGGAATGTTTAATGACTTTTAATGCACCAAGATCATATAACTATTAATTTTAGCCTTTTCGTGTTTAGTTCTGAAAACTATACACTGTTATGTTCTCTTTAAATTACACATTTTGAAAAGACAAAAACCAAATGACATACAAATTAAGTGAAATAAAAGCTTTAATCATACACGGTTTCCTGCAATATTCCTCTTAAATGGGCGGAATAATAATGTTGGAAATTGAACTAATGATTAAATTAAATATATGGAAGTAACGAACAGTATTCAAGCCCAAATGCTGAATATTAAACAATACAAAATAGGAGCGGAGCAAACACGGACTTCTAAAACATCAGAGATTGGATAGGGTAACATGGAGGAGTGAGCATCCCCCGCCGACTAGTCACATCCGCCTCGTGTCCCCTGTCAGAATCGGAAAACAACGGGAAAATCCGTCGTCAGTTCAGTAAACGTGTAAATAATGGCCTAACAATCAGTATGCAAAACGTTAGTCAGCATTTGACTTAATGATAAATTGTATTTGCTGACAAGGTCAGTTACAACCATAAAACTTTCGAAATGATGACTTTAAACGAGACTGATTATATAATGGTTTAGGTAGATTGATACTTTAAAATTGTTTATGTAATCTTCCGTGGTAATCATTAATCCTATTTGTTAGCTGACTTAAGGAATCCTACGGTAAGATTGCATTAAAATCCAATCGTCTAATAAAACAGAATAATTTTATGTCATATTTTAGACAACTGTAACCAAGAAAATTAAACAAGTGATACTGTATAGGGGATTATTTCACGGGTTGTAATTTTCACGTTTTTTCCTCATCTGACACGATCGCGGTTTCTTGAATTCGCGGAATTGGTACATGTATATAATAAAAGTTACCTCCCTTGTCTTTATTTCATGAACAATAGGGTCTAGGTTAATATGATATAATTATATTTTAATAAATAATTGACAATTAATTAAAACAAGTGCAGTTATCAAAGGTCTTGACTATAAACGTCGAGTGACTTTCCTGTATGCTAGCTATTACGATGAGTGCATACATAGACAACCCCAAGATATTTATATTTTTAAAACCAAAATGTCGATAAAAACTAATATGCATGATAATGCAGGTAACAAATACACTTTACGCACGGGTAATCAAAACCCATGGTCCACGTGTTTTGATTGATGAAACATATAGCGTTGGCTATTAAAACAGCTTTTTAACATATACAGGTTATTATCTGCCAGTTTGAATTGAAGTATTATTAAAATAATTGAATGACAAGTACTACTCGTAATTACTGAAACGATTATGTACTGCACGAACATGTATATAAACCTGTGTTATCGTAGTTTATTCTCAAATTTCCAAATAAAACATGAAGATTATTGAAAATTTATTCACTGTTTCTTGAATTCATGGATTTATTTACACCGTGAATATAGCGAATATTAACACCGCGAGTTATTTTCCCCCTATACAGTAATTTAAAAAAAAAATGTTCTTCTTTTGAAGCTAAGAAAATGTTACGTTAACAAATCATTATACTTACTGTTTTTATTTTTAAATATCATCCTGTAGCATACAAATAGTTTTGCAATAAAATTATCCTTACCTGTAAATAAAGTAAAGTGTTGCACATAAGAATGAAAAATTAAAGATATAAAAATTAAACTTACAATATAAGCAGAAATCAATTTTCTCCTTTGACTGTCCGAATGATTAATTTCAAACCAAAGAACACAATCAAATATAGTATTTATACTTTTGCATGACCAATGAAAAGCTGTCACCCGTTTGTACTGTTTAATATACTTGAGGACACCTAGGAGCCTATAAATGGTTGAATATTGATTACAATCCATTCACAGACTCCATCAATTGAAATATCAGGGACGCAGACATAGACAATGCAGAAGTAACCTTGCATAATTCTATTTATCCGCATTCGTAAAAGTTATCGTGATCACCCAGGGAAAAACTTCAGAGTTTATACTCTAAATTGATCATAATCTTAACACATTTGGTTTTGGGTATTACATGTATTAGTCACGATCAGTGCAGGTTTGAATTGAAAACCAAAGACTTTTTCGTACGCCTTTGGTTTTTAATCCTGAAATTGAAATTGTTATATCAAAATAAATTGAATTTTCTTTCTTAGGGTGGAATATATTTCTGCTCGAAATTTCAAAATTTTTTACGGATTTTTTTTCTTTTTCTTTTTTTTTTCTTTTTTTTTTTTTTTTTTTTTTTTTTTTTTTTGAAGATTGGATTTTTTCAATATCGATAGCAATTCCAATGGAAAATGTTTAAAGCATGAAACGTTCTTTTATTTTTAAGAATATTATGTTTTATCAGGATATGAGGAAAGTTTGAGATAATGAATAGAAAAATCAATGATTTTGATTTTCATCTTAATATAAAAAAAATAATGAAAAATAATATTTAATGTCATGCGTATAAAATTCATATTATGTAGTATTGTTCTATAAAGCAGAAATAAAAATTGTATTCGTTGCTTAAAAAAAGCATCAAAAGAATCCATCTTGAAGAGTTATCTTTCCCTTTACAGAAGTTATCTTCCTTCAAAATATTTTTCTAGAGAAAAAAAAATATTTATCAAGTAATTAAATTTGAAAATTATATGTCTGATAAATGACAATTTATTGACAAATAATTTTAAAGTTATTGTGTATAGTCCGTTGTCATTTCTTTTTTTTTTGGGGGGGGGGGGGATAAAATAAGAAATTACAAATATATAACAGAAGAAAAAAAGATGTTTAATGAAGCTAGCGACTCACCGAAAAACAAGTTCCCCCGCCTTATAACGATTTTTTAATAACCCAGTTCTTTTACTTCAGTGATGATCGCTTCTTCAACAGATATGAAAATAGACCTATAAAAATCCAATATCTTTTCATTGGTCATCTACAAAGTTTATTAAAGGTTTTTCTTCTCTTACACAAATACACTGAGGTTAATATAAAACACATGTTAAAGTTCATAATCAACACCTACATATACATAATCTTTGTAAACCAGGTCTTCCATTTTCGGTCTAAAATGCAAACGACACGAAAATTGCTTATGTGTTGGAATTCTTGTGATACAAAATATATGAAATTTTGCATATAAAGCAGAAAACTGTGGCTTTTGACATAGATTTTATGTTTAGATATATCAGCTACGGTAAATATCACTTGTATTCTTATCTCAGCATAATGTCAAACTTTAAAATTTCTAGTCAGAAGAAATTACATCATCGAAGGATCAGATATCTTTTCTTTTTTTTATTCTTTTTTTTGTCAAAGAGAATAATACTCCTTGGCAAAGTCGAGGCATTGAATTCTGTTGCCTTCAACTCTACCTTCGTTAACGATGATGTATTGTCAATTAACAATAGTTAACACTAGTTCATGTATATGTCGATTCGTTAGATTCAATTTAACATGAAATTTAAGAGAGACAACACAGAGTCTGCAACATCTGTTTCCTAGCTAGGCATACTAATAAAAACCTTTTTGTATAAAATTACAAACGGTTTCAGCTTTTCCATATCGACTCTCCTTATTTATGCAATAAAAGTCCGCTTTCACCTGCATGCAGTGTTTTCATCTCAAAACCTTTTCATTACTCGATAGTATTTTTTTAGTAGGGTCAGTTTTTTTTAACTGATAGAGGCGAAGAAAAGATAATTTGATGATACAG